TATGCTGAACAGCCAAATGTCCATTCCCCATTCGGAGAGGTGAATACCATCCTCCAAATGCCTAATGATGGCCCCCCCCAAAGCTGTAGGGACTTTCCCCACACATTTGCACCTTCCTTCTTGCTAAGTCCACTTCAGTCCCGATCAGACGAGTGCCTGGCGGATTTTAAAGTAATGGCCAGACAGCAACATCTGGGAAACATCCCTCTTTCGTGAGCATCCCTTTTTGCTGCACATTGAAGCCATATTTTGGGAACCATATTGCCCCTCGTAGAGGGAGAGGATCAGCATAAGCTTGTTCTAACTGCACCCATGTTTTTAAAATTAGGGTTTTTTTGTAGTAGAGGACTATGTAAATGGACCAACTGAGTAAGTTGCAATGCCCAATAATAAAATTTCAAATTAGGAAAATGTATTCCTCCAGATTTTACTGGTTTATATAATGTTTGCTTCGATATCCCTGGTTTTTTCCCTTCCCATAAAAATTGTCTAATGTATTTTGTCATCTATTTAAGATTCTATCCGAAATATCAATCAGAATTGTTCTAAAATAGTACAAAAAATTAGGTAATACAAAACTGTTTATTGTCGATACTTTCTGCCCAGTTAAGCCTCTTAGATTTAAGCATCATTAATTGTTTAGATATATCTTCATGTATCTTATAGTAATTATAGTATGTCAGTGTACTCATTTCTAAAGGGACCTTTCTAAAGTGCAACCTTGGCCACTGCACTGCTCACCTCCAATTCCAAGTCATTTATGAACAAATTAAACAGAGCAGGTTCCAGTACTGTTGCTTGGGGGAACCTTGTTCACTTTCCTCCACTGCAAGAACTGTCCATTTATTCCTGTGCTTTGATTCCTGTTGTTTAACCAATCTTAAATCCACAATAGTGAAGTTATAGTATGGTCTGCCAAACACAAAGATGGTATTCATGGGTTTTGCTTTTCATGGGTTGTCTAAGTCGTATTACCTAAATGGCTGTATTAATTCTCAGCTGTAACTAGATCTTTATTACATTCTAAACTGTGAGATGCTTTAACTTTGTAATAATAATGTCTTTTTTTCTCTCCAAAATAATGCTCATCAAAGAATTGTTTGTCCTGTAATACTCCTGGTTCAGAAAGGCGCTTGTGTCCTTGAACTTTAGGTCTATAACCACAAAAAGTGTTTAAAAGCTGTTCAAGACATTTGAACACTGAACTCTGTATATATGTTAGTGGCCAGTCACAATGTAAAATAAGACATCAGTCATTATTTACCATATTACCCATTGTATGAGGATGTTCAGAACTTACCTATTAAGGATCCTTTACTGTGATATCCTTTCCTGGAAAAGTAATGCATATTCTTCTGCATTTTCTATTTGCATAAGCTTTAAATTCAAATTTTATGATAAAAACTTCAGATCTTAAGAACATTGCAGTCTTATGGGCACTTTCCTGGGACAAAGCCTCATTGAATAAAATGTGATTATTTCCTTCTGTCTACCTGCTTAGGTTTGACCCCAAATAGTATAAAAAGTTACCCAACATTTAATTATCTCAAACATTGTCAGAGTTTCTCATTTGTAATTAATATTATTATTTGTTACATTTGTGGATCACGGTCAAGGACAGATGGATATCTCTAGGGCCAGAGATCACCAGCAGATTGCTATCCAAGGAGCGTAACACTCTCCCAAGGACATATCAGAGGAGACGGTCCTGCAGATACATTCATCCCTGATTGCTCAAGGCCTGATAGGTCAACACCAGAACCTTGAACTTAACTCAGTATTCCACTGGAAGCTAGTGCAGCTGGCACAGCACAGGTTGTATATGTGCCATCCGGGATCTTCCCATCAGGACCCGTGCTTCCACGTTCTGGATCAGCTGGAGCTTCCAGCTGAGTCTCAAGGGCAGGCCAGCATAAAGTGAGTTACAGTAGTCTAGCCTGGAGGCGACTGTTGCATGGATTACCATTGCTGGGTCAGGGCGCAACAGGAAGAGGCCAATTGCCAAGCCTGGTGCAGATGGAAAAATGCCAGCCTGGCAATATTTGTGACTTGGGCCTCCATATTCAAGGAGGCATCCAAAATCACACCCCAAATCTTGACAGACTACACTGGTGTCAACAGCACCCCGTTATGAGCAGGAAATCTATGCCACAGCCCCAAAGCCCCCCCCCCCAGCCAAAGAACCTGCATGTTTGTTGGATTCAGTCTCAACCTGCTCTTTTTAACCACCTGGCAAAATTCTGTGGGGCAGTATCTGGCTGGCAGTCCAATAACAGATACAGCTGGGTGTCATCTGCATATTGATGGCACCCAAGCCTGAAACCCTGCGCCAGCTGGGCGAGGGGGCACATTTAAAGGAATAGTATGCCGCAGTATTCTCTTTAACACTCTTCTGCCTTAAAAACATATGGCATTAATTGGCTATTGTGTCATAACGTGGAACAGCAGTCACTGCGGGTGTGGAGGGGGAGGTATTTGTGAATTTCCTGCACTGTGCAGGGTTGGACTAGATGACCCTGGAGGTACCTTCCAACTCTATGATTCTAAGTCCCATCTGAAAAAAATTAATTTTGATAGCCATGATCATTACTTCAGTCTAACATACATTAAACCTGGAAACACTAATCTTTGTGAAGAACTGGTATCTGACTTTGGAAAATTGGTAAATTGTAAGTAAACAAACATCTATGGAAAGCAAACATTATACACAGGAAACACACATTCAGAAATAGCAACCATTTATTAAAGGTTGAAATGAGTTTAATCCATCAGAAAATTTATCTAGCAGAAAGTCTTAAGAAGGAAGTATCGAATGAGTGTAATGTATTTTATTCTCACAATTTAGGAAATGAGATCAATAATAATTTGGTCAAAACGGTATGTTTCAAAAAGATGTGGCTAATATGCAAGTCTTTATTTGAAAATACGTTTTCTGTACATGCAAGAGAGTTTTTTTTTCTGTTAACTATAGATTATGTGAATAATTTTATATTTTTTCACACAGTTTGATAATTAAACATGGTTTGCTTGCAAGACTGGTTCTAATAATTACTGTCAACCATTACTGCATTAGCAGCTGACTCCATGTTCTCAATTTCCTCTCTAACACTATGAACGTATTTCTCAAGTGACATAAGCATGTTAGTTGGTGGTGCTAAATTCAGTGTTCTTTACATCAAGTAATCACTAATGGAGGAAACTATCTGAATCTTGCTGCAGTTCTCAGGCACAATGTTTATAAATACATCTTAACTATATGTACCTTTATATCAAAGTGAGGCAGAGTAATGAGTTCCATCACAAAGGAGAACTGAGCAAAGATTTCCAACTGCTCCACCATTAGCAGTCAACTGATCTGTACAAAGTAAATAATAATTTAAACTTTCTTTCTGTATTACATGACTGTGTAAGCCTATGCAGGGTGCGTGAGTTTTTAATATATTTTTGTACAGTGCTTAGTTTGCAGATGGTTTTCAAATCACTATATTCCTTAAGCAAGATGTTAATTACAGGAGTGTTAGCCATTCGTATATGCCTAGAAAGTGCTTATTATCATCATTGCAAAATGTGAACATTCAGTCTCCAGCTATTAATATGTCATCCATCTTGAAAACCATTTTTCATCAGACACAGTGGGAAAGTTCTGCATCTGACATGTCAGGTTTTTGATCGGCTATATAGCTTATATTTTTATTGCATATTTCACTTATAGGCCTATAATGTTTTTATATACTGGTCTGTTTTTTCATCCAGAGTATTTCATTTATTTTATACATTTTTAGTTGCTTTTCAACTTTAAAAACTCTCAAAATGACCTACAAAAAAGAAAAATGCATTAACACTAGATAATGCTACTACTCTTTTGACAATCTCAAGTGGAATAGGCTCTCAGATAAACAGTTTGAGAGGCTCCATACTCCTGACTCCTCTGCAATATGACAGAAAACAGTGATGTCACCTGAAGTCAAACTGTACTTTACATATTCAGAAGTACACTACATCATAAATTCTGTATAGTGCCAACTGCATACATTTTATGCTAAAATTCAAAAACCAAAATATGTGTAAAATAAGCATACAAAGGAATGAAGGAATATACTGTTAAATGTAAAGCAGGGTAGATATGATGTGACAAAAGCAGTATCAACAAATACCAAAATTTCAATAAATCTAACTGAAATTCTCAAACACAATTCAGCAGAAGCAGGACCTTAAATATCTCTCTGATGACTGACTCCCTACTGGGGGCCTGGAGGATATTCAGAGAGGTGGCTGAATAAAGCCTGCCCCCGCCTCCTGACTGCTGGTATTCCAAGGAGGTCTCCTATCCAAGTACTTGCCACAGTCAACCCTGCTTAGCTTCCGAGATCTGACGAGATCGGGCTCACCTGGGCAATCCAGGTCAGGGTAAACCTTAAATATTGAATCAAACTTCGTTTTTCTAAAGGACTTCTACTGCAACCCTACTGGCAACATGAACATCAATTTTATCTTGGCAGTTGAATTATAGGTACCAACTTTAGCATAGCATACACTGTCCATACTTATTTGCTAAAAAAAGGAAGATTGATAAAAATAATACAGTCAGAATTATGGAATGACACAGAATTAACACAGAACAGTCTAAGTATTCCTTCATAGTAATACCTCTGATCTTCAAATTAAGCAACCAAATAAGAACAGCACACTCCTGAGCCAATTTATTGTAGCTACAAAATCAGTTCAAGCAAATTTTCTTTCAACAGATTAATCTCATCAAAGACTACTAAAAAGTCAAAATCACAATCTGATGGCAGAAAAAAAGCCTCAAAGCATACATAACAGTGCTATAGCTTCATGTCTGATAGCAATTAAACAAACATAACAAAGTAATATTTAATTGTACTGTCTACAATTGTATTGTCTACGAGATCTGACGTATACATATATATATATATGTATGTATGTATGTATGTATGTATGTATACACACACACACGTACTTTCAGACAAGTGTTTTCACTAATCACGTTTTGGATGTTTATCAAAGCGTTCCAACAAAGCTTTTGGTATGCTACCTGGTATTCTTTGATGCTTATCTCTGAGATTTTGTATTGCAGTCTTTGTCTGAAAAACAGAGGGAAAAATAGAAAAGAACATTTTTATTCTGTATTATCACCAGCAAAACACTCAAGTAGTACTCATATTGAGTGTTTCAAGGCCACTAGAAGTTTAAAATTAGGGCTACCGTATACTAGTTCATTAGCGATCAGTTTGCAGTTACTATCTTATTTTAAATCTGTGATAAATTCCATTCAATATCCATCTTATTAACTTCCAAAAAAACTAATCAGCTGACTAGCAGAGACTAGCCCAAGCTTATTAGATCTTGAAAACGAAGCAATGGTTGGGACGTAAATATGGGAGGCCATCAAGGAAGACCAGGGTTGTTATTCAGAGGAAGACGATGACCGACCAACTCTTCTTATCAGTTGCCTTGAAAGCCCCATGAAGGGTCATCATAAGTCAGCCGTGATTTGACGGCACTTAGTTATTATGTTATTTTAAGAAAATAATCAAATGTACTTTTTCATCCCATGATATTCTACCAACTAATGACAGGACTTTGCCTATGGGACGAATGTTTTGTTTTACATTTTCAAAGCGAGAACACCTATTTTTTTCTCTGACCTAGTAACCTTTGGCCTAACAGCCTTACAATGCCCAGAAACATCCTGGGTTCCAAGTATGGTTCCCAACACATGTGGACAAAAAATTTGCTCTTCCTTTAATAGGACTCTTGAAAATGGCTCTTGAAAATGCAGCCGGTGGTGGTGGTGGAGAGGAGCCCCTAATTCCCCTGCACTGTGGTCCTCAGCAGGATTGGGCCCACACAGTGCTTTGAAGGGAAAAAAAAAAAACCAAGGCTGTAAAATGATGGTGTATCCTTGTGGTAGATTTAGAAATGTCATACCATCTAGTTTGGCCCTTAAAAGACAGAAACAGAAGGTAGGGGTTACTGGTTACCAGAGACATTTATTTGTTTATTTTATTTCTCAAATTCCCAACATACAGGTGACATTAAAAGGGAATCCTACATGTGCTGGGGAGATGGGAAGCTGTAGAGGTACTCCTCATGGAGGTCTAAGGGCCATCCTCTACTGTAGAATGAGGCACCTGTAGGAAACCCCAAAGAAACTGTGCTGTGCAACAGCAAAAAAAACAAACAAACAAAAAAAACACTTTGCTCAAAGCACAAAAAAAGAAAACTAACTTTGCTGATACTGCTCTGATGCCATATAGGTACAGAGTTAACAACAGGCCTGGAGAGAAATGTCCTGTCCCTATAATAGCAGCTTCTTATGGGGAAAAGGGCAGAAGCCTTTCATGGCATGAAGATAAATAACATCAACTTAAAAGTCTGAGGAGATAAGGCAGCACAGAACTTTTTAAAAAACGAAACACATAACAACCCTTTAGGCCTCTATTAAAGGAATGGGACTTTTTTCTCCAGGTATTTGGCAGCCCTACTTTCACCAAAAGGGTGCTGAACATGTCCTCCACTGTCAATACAGTTGTCCTCTGGCAAAATGGAGTGGGGGGCTCCTCAGATTATACACTCTCCCTCCAATCATTGCTAGCATCTAACCAAACCATGCAGTCTGAATGACGGGGTGGGAGATGACTGGAGCACATGGCCACTGGGATTAATAGGAACAGGCGGTGACATTGGTGTAGTGGTTAAGTGCGTGGACTCTAATCCGGGAGAACCAGGTTTGATTCCCCACTCCTCCACTTGCAGCTGCTGGATGACCTTGGGCAAGCCATAGTTCTGTCAGAGCTGTTGTCTCAAGTTCAGTTCTGAAAAAAGCTCTCTCAGCCCCACCTACCTCACAGGGTGTCTGTTGTGGGGAGGGGGAGGGATAGGAGTTTGTAAGCTGCTCTGAGAGTCCGAGTGAAGGGCAGGATATAAATCCAATCTCTTCTTCTTCTATCTGTAACAAGTGCATGGGCAAACCAAAATGGCTGGTGCAGGGGTTGTTCAAACAATAGGAGCAGTCCATCCCAAGTGATTGCTGAGGTTTTATAGTAGGGCTTTATCATCCAGGAAAACATAAGAACAGACTTTTCTTCTTCTTTTAACAATCTGTTCTTTTGAGTTCATTCCTGTAATAACTTAAGCATTTTTCCTTGTGCTAGTAACTAGTGTAAGACTTCATTAAAAAACTAAGAATCACTTGTGCCATATCCCACACAGCACCTTACATAATCTTGCTCTAGCAAAACAAGTGGTTTGTATATGATGAGTTTATGACAGCACAACAAATATTTATATCTCACCTTTCCACATACAAACGTGAAAAAATGTTAAACATATGAACTAAAATACTGCACTAGAAACAGCCAATGGAAGTACAGTACATTATATAATTAAGAGTGTAATATTTTTAAAGGTTTCCGTAATACACAAAACTTACCTTTTCAGCTAATTCTTCAGCTGTTATATGTGGATCATATGGAATGGGATCTCCTATGTAAGTGCAAAATTTGACTGGGAATCCTCCATATACAGGAACAATTGGCCACCGGGTACGCTCATATAGCCACTTTAATGGCCCTGTCCATAAGATTCAAAATATACTCAAGTTTTGACAAATATAGTGGGGTGCAGACTTAGGCACTGTAAGAATCCCTGATTTTAAACAGACCACTTATTTTCTGCTTTGTAATATAGGATATAAGGGAACATGATAAAAGGCCATGCATATGATAGGCAGTCGTGCATGATATGTTCCAAGGCCTTAATCTAACTCATAATTAAGCATGTTTCAATTATTTCAGAGGCTGTATGAGTACAAAAACATGTGCTAGATTTCAGTCCAGCCAACGGCAAAACTAGCCAACATCAAGTGGTAGCAAATCCCAGAGGAAAAATATACAAAAAGTTAGTAGAGAATTTAAGCAACAGAAAGAGAACGAGAGGAGAATCTGATGAAAGCCTGAAGAAGATACAAAGACAAGAAGGGTGCATGCCTGACAGCAGAAAGCTTAATAAGATGCCAAATAAAAGTCCAATGACATGAAAGCAGCATATGGGAAGATGAGAGTCAGAAACAATCTTACATATTTTTCCAAGCGTCCTGTATCCTTCCCGAAGATTTGTTGTAAAAACAGGGATGATGGGCTGGAACATGTGGGGAAAACATTGCCAGAATTTCAGCCTTCCATTATCTAACATCACAATGTCCATAAATAAAATATTATTGGGAACAATCGCTACTAGTGTATGCAATTATGTCTGCAGTCAAAAAAGCTAATACTAGAATTAAAATTCGCTAGTCTTGAAGGACTCTTGTTTCCTCTGATTTACCATGCAACAGGGTACTGAAATCAATAGTTAAGACTGGCATAACTCTGCACTGTTAGGTAATCAGAGAAAAAGAGGTAGAGCCATTTAAAATTTACTATGATGTGCAGCCATGAACAACCACATATTGAAAGGCTTTTATGCAACATTAAGAGTAAATTTACATGTTGAAGGAATGCATGGATGAGAGTCCCTGTACAACTCTGTAGAATACTGGGGAAACTAGGGGTTTTCTTTCCACTAATGTTCAGAACAGTTGATCTGGACAGGCTTTAAGGACTGACTTATTGTGGTTTCACCTGCACTCAGAAGTAGCTGCCACCGTTTTACCAGCTTTACCGTTCACCGGCCTTTCTTCTTAGCAACAGCAAATTTCTTTCAAAAAGCAAATTGTTTGTTCAATGAGCTGCTGGTCACTGGATCAATCTGAGAAATCTGCAGCTGAAATAAATCTGGAACTTTAAAAAATTGCCTCTGAGTAAGGAAGACTTACTGGTATGGTGCAATACAGCACTAGGAAATTCTTCTGGAGCTCTTCTATATAGGCATGAGAAGACAATGGTTAACCTCACCCCTCACCTCTCTTGCCCCACTGACTATTCTGAAAACCAGTGGAATAAAAATCCTTTTGTTTCTCAGACTGAAGAATTTCATTGCCTCTGTCATATACATTCATGACAGACATTTTTTTCCTCATCTCCCATTCTCCCCATATATAAATGCAGTAACAATTCTAATTCAGATGTATCCTAGCCTTCCTGAAAGGTTGTTATCACATGAAAACATGAAGCCGCCTTATATTGAGTCAGATCACTGATCTATCAATGGCATTACTGATTACTCTGACTGGTAGTAACTCTCTAGCATTTTATCTAATCTGGTGACAGTTTCAACAGACAAGGTTTCTTAACTCAAACCATAACTTCCAGAGAGAGAGAGAGAGAGAGAGGGAGGGAGAGGGAGAAAGGGGGGGGGAGAGAGAGACAGAGAGACAGAGAGAGATTTTGATTTCTTGTTCCAGGACAAACCTGTACATACATCCAAACCTGGATAAATGATTGAGGATTCTACTAATCTTAAGAAAGATTTTAATGCAGATGATTGCATGTAAATTTCCTTTGAATACATGGCAAAAATATATGGCATGTGCCTACTCACCACTTTTGCATCTAGGGCCACGTGAGCAAAACCTGTCCGGTTGCCCCACAAGAGACTGTAGTTCTCGTCACTAAACAGTGCTTCTCGGACTCCACCAGGCAAGACACCTAGTAAGTACCCTTTTTTCAGAATTTCAACACATTGTATTCTTCCATCTTGTGTAAGACCTTGTACATTATAAAACAGCTTTATACCTGAAAAAGAAAATTAAGCTATTAAAATACCTAAAATATACAGCAGACATACATGTGACAGATGTGTTATCACATCCTTCCAGAATTCCTCCAAAACTGGACACTCTAGCCAGCAGTGGAGGTACGTTCCATGCTGACCACACAGCCTCCAACACTCAGGCTTTGCCGATGCAGTGAAATGAGCCAGCTTCTGAGGAGTCAGGTACCAAAACGTGAGTATTTTAAAGGTTTGAAGTTTTATATCAATTAAATTGGTCTTGAAAGGAAAAGAGGTCCAGATTTTATTCCAGAAGCTCTCATCTAAAGGTAAGCTTGCTAAGGATTGCCATTTACTTTTGTAAGAGAGTGGTTTGTCCCTATCTAAGGAGAGGAAAATAAAATAGATTTTAGCAAGTAATTTTTTTTTGAGGTCCCAGCTTTTTTGTATAGCATTTCAAAGGCAGTTAGAGGTTGCTTTAATATAGAAGTGGTATGTATCTGAGAACAGAAATGCTTGAGCTGCAAGTACTGGAACCAAGGGATGTTCATCCCCAGTTTCTCTTCTCATTGGATTTTATCTAGTAATGTATTGTTATAGGTGACATCATGTAATGTATTAAGGTTTGCGTTCCTCCATAAATTTAAGTTAGTTAATGTATTTGGAGGCAACATACTCTTTTGTTTAAAAAGAGTTTGGAAATGAAATATTCTAGGTAATAAATGTTTTCTTTTGTTTTCCCAGGTATGTAAAAAGGTTTTGAAAAAGAAACTATTCTCGATGTCTTTGGATCTCTCAGAGGAGGTCTGCCAAATAGAATCACGGATATTGTAAGGGTAAGTGCCGTATTTTTCGCTCCATAAGACGCACCTGACCATAAGACGCACCTAGTTTTTAGAGGAGGAAAACAGGGGAAAGGGCCTCTTCTGCTGCTGTTCAGTGGGGAGAGAAGCCTCGAGCTGGATCTCCCAGGCGGCAAAGCGAGAAGGGCCCCGCTGGCCATGATGCTTTACAGCAGCCTCCCAAGGACACACCAGAAGTGTGTCAGAAGGCAACACCCACCGCTCAGGCTCCACCCCAAAAATCTCCAAGTATTTCCCAACTCAGAGCTGGCGAACCTACCTGGAGAAAAACTGCTTCAAAAGCACAAAGAAAATTTGTAGCAGGGGATCAGCTTTTGTGAGTCACTGCTCTCTTCTACAGATATTTCATAGCTGAAGAAGTGACCAGTGACCCAGTTATGAATAGAGGCTACAGTTCCCACATTTGCAGAAGTCTACAGATATGAGCAACATCCTCCTCACTTGCTACCTACATGTAATGGTTGATGACTCTGTTTCAATGTATCTGAAAATGAGTGCATGAACACAAACGCTTAGACCCAGAATTAAACTTTGTTGGTCTTAAAGGTGCCACTGGACCCAAACTTTGTTCTATTGCTTCAGACCAACACATCTACCCACCTGAATCTATGCAAACCAGAATGATTCAAGAGGGCTCTTCTACACAGGCAATAGGGTTACACTGTACAAAAGACTTCACAAAGTTACTTGAACAAATTATTAGGGTACACCCAACACCTCCTGTCCACACATGCTTAAGGTAGGATAGCAGCTCAATATTTCGTTAGCAGTGGTACTTAAGAATATCTGTTCCAGTGCAACAGAACAAAGTTTGAGTTCAGTGGCACCTTTAAGACCAACAAAGTTTATTCACA